CTGTGGCTGTGGGCTGGTAACATCAGCTCCCTAGCAAGCAGTTTTTCAGCAGACCCCAACTGGGTGTCCCCTAATTCAACCCAATTCCGACACTATCTACCTGCAGATAGTGTCAGATCCCACGAGTTAAGGGCTCAGGCCCATAAAACTGCCCACACTAGAGACACTAGTGGTAAGTTTGGGCCTCTGGAACTCCTGAAGACTGACTATAAATTGAGGATTTCCACAACTCCTTTCCTTGAATTGATTAATTTGCCAAGACGGCCCACAGAATCCATGGAAACACTTACTTACATTTTCCTGGTTTATTAATAAAGAATATTACAAAGGATATCGATGAACAACAAGAGGAAAGAAATGCAAAGGGTAAGGTATGCGAGAAGGAGCTTGGAGCTTCCGTGCCCTCTCTGGACACACCCTCCATTAGAAAGCTCCACGTGTTCAGCAATCCAGAGCTCTCCAAACCCTGCTCTATGGGGCTTTTATGGAGGTTTCATTACACAGGCATAACTGATTATATCATTGGCCATTGGTGATCAACTCAACTTTCAGCCCCTCTCCCCTCCCTAAAGGTCGAAGGAAGTTGCGCGATGGTGTTGAAAGTTCCAATCTTCTAACCATGCCTTGGTCTTGGGTGACTAGCCCCCATCCTAGCCACAAGCCACCTCATTAGCATATCAAAGACACATACCACTGAAGATGGCAAGGATTTTAGGAGCTATATGTCAGGAAACAGTGATGAAAACCAAGTAAAATATTTCAAAATATCACAATCTCTTTGTATTAAATTAAAGTACCTTACATAACAGAAAAATATACAAAAAGAGTAAAACGTGTATTCACCAGGGAAAACACGTTTATAATTTCTCTGACAATAGAATATAAACTCATAAACTTTATATAAAAACACCACTGGCCATTTTACAATTTCTCTCCATTGATTTCCCCAACATTCAAATCGAACTGATTTCTCCTAGTGTCATAGCCAGACTTGGTTGCTCTAACAAGCCAGTTGATTACCACCTGTTTATCTGTGCCTAATTCTCATTTACAAGGACCCCACATAGCTTAACTTCAACAATCCATACATGTTCTAACCTTCAGAACTCAATGTAAAGCATGTTTCCATTGCCCAAACTTTCCAGACTAACTTTGAGCTGTAGAGATTCTAGTTTTTCCAGGATTCCAAAGTAACAGAAAGCGAGACTCTGACAAATCCTACACAGCTGTATGGCTCTTAGTCACTCATCAATGAAGAGCCTTTGCATTGCACTCTGGGTTTGCATCCTTGCAGCTGATTCATTCTCAAGATTTTACACACACCCAGCTGGAGCAAAGTCTACATTCCCTAATAGAACTCTACTTCAGTTCCTCCATCCTTTCTTCTCCCAGTCCAGGTATCCAGACCACCCCACTCCACCATGCATATTCCTGCCTACAGGAGGCTTTTGTCTCACCAAAGGTACTTCTTAGTTTGGGGTTGTTAACCAGTCAAGTCCTGCTTTCTGAGTAACTCTCTATATAGTAATATATATAATTATTAACTAAAGAACATGCATTATCAGATTTCCTAATTTTTCTCTAATGTCCCTTTTCTATCCCAGGATCCCACACTACATTGAGTCATCATATCTCCTATGGCTCCTCTTAGCTGTGACAGTTTCTTACACTTTTCTTGTTTTATATGACCTTGAGTTTTGAGGTTTACTGGTTCGGTGTTTTGTACAATGTCCCTCAATTTGAATTTGGATGCGGATTTTCTCATAGCTAACCTAGGGTTATGAAAGTGCCATTCTCAACACAACACATCAAGAGTTTATGCTAACAACTTAACTCTGATGCCGTAAACCTTTATCACCTGACAAGACTGACAGGCTTCTCCACTGTAAAGTTACTTTGTTGCTCCCCCATTCCCATTCTGTACTCTTCGGAAGCAAGTCACTACACGTAGCCCCACAGACACATAAGGAGTACAGAGTTACACTCTACTACCTTGAGGAGGGAGCAGGTACATAGATTGTTTGGAATTCTCTGTATAACAGATTTATCTATTCTACGTTTCTTTACTTATTTAATTATTTATTTGTGTCAGCATACAATCATGGATATTTATGTACAGTTTTGGTGTTTTGTTTGTTTGTTTGTTTTGAGACGGAGTCTCACGCTGTCGCCCAGGCTGGAGTGCAGCGGCTCCATCTCGGCTCACCGCAGCCCCCACCTCCAAGGTTCAAGCGATTCTCCTGCCTCAGCTTCCCGAGTAGCTGGGATTACAGGCACATATTTATACTTTGGGTTGCAATCTATTATACATTATTTAACATAATATTATATACTTTGGCAATGGGAAACTTTTTCAGTTGTCTCGTGCATCTCTTTGGCATACCATGTCAACTTTTAAAGCACTTCCATAGTTTCTGACATTAGAAGATGCTCCTGGCTCATCACGTGTATTTCAGAATCAGCCCTAATATTAGCTATTTTTGCGAGAAACCCTGGTTCCTTTTACTGGTGAGTGACATTAAAAACTACTACCTGGGTGCTGGCTGTACTCATTGCTAGTGGGATGCCACTGCTCTTAGGTTTCCTAGGTGAGCAGAGCTAGGAAATAGATATGTGTTTGCCAACCTTTGCATACACAGTGTTTAGAATTATTTCTTCACATAGCCATCACTCTCTACATTAAGCTAAACATGAATTCATACTGATGTTTCCAAGTTAATCCAGAAAAATAGGTTCATTCTAGCTTTCTCCATCTGCTTAGGTGTGTTAACATAAAAGCTTTAGACAAATTAAATGTAAAAGAGTGTATCTGAGCAAGGAATAATTCACGAATTGGGCCCTAGAGTACAATGCTTATATACAGTTTAATAGTTTAATTTGTCATTAGTCTTACAGTCATCTTCAAAGTTAATTTTTTTTAGAATACATGTATTAGGCCATTCTCACACTGCTATGAAGAAATACCTGAGACTGGGTAATTTATAAAGGAAAGAGGTTTAATTGACTCACAGTTCCACATGGCTGGGGAGGCTGCAGAAAACTGACAATCATGGCAGAAGGCAAAGGAGAAGCAGGCAACTTCTCCACAGGGCAGGAGGACAGAGTGAGTGCAAGCAGAGGAAATGCCAGATGCTTATAAAACCATCAGTTCTCATGAGACTCACTTACTATCACAAGAACAGCCTAAGGAAGACCACCCTCATGATCCAATTACCTCCACCTGGTCCCTCCCTTGACGCGTTGGGATTATAGGGACTACAATTCAAGATTAGATTTTGGGTGGGGACACAACCAAACATACCAATATATAATAATTTTTTTCTTTTCTTTTTTAATTTCAGTAGTCTTGGGGGAACAGGGAGTTTTCAGAAGAGAATTCAGCGCACTGCTCTGCAGCTTTGGCAATGAGCGTTTATAGGCTGAACACAGAAGTAAAGCACAGAGATAGCTTGATTGGTTGCTGTTGCCTTATTTGGACGTGCTCTGGTCAGTTGGCTGCCTGTGATTGGCCGAAGCTTGACTTCTTGTGATTGGCTGAGACCTGGGTATCTGTTACAATATGTATACTCCTAAGTTAGGTTGTGGTTTGTTATTTGGAACTCAATGTACAGAGGCAGCCTCAGGACAATGGCTTTCTGCCTGTTTTATTTAACATGTGTTAACCCCATTTCAACAGTAAAAAACCTAGCTCCCATCATCCACCTTCCATTTATTTGTTTAATCTTCGTAGACATGTACAGAGCTTTCATAATTGTGAAGTCACACCTGTAAGAAATAACTTTATCAACTAGAGTACAATAATTACCTAGCTTAGTAGTTTGTCATTAGTCTTACAGTCATTCCAAAGTTTTTTTTTTTTAGATACATAGCTTTTTTCTGTAATTTTTTTAAAATGTCAATAGTTTTGGGGGAACAGATTGTTTTTTGTTACATGGATATTTTTAGTGGTTTTTTCTGAGTGGTTATTTCTGAGATGTTGGTGCACCTGTCACCTGAGCCATGTACACTGTACCCAATGACTGAATTAAATCATCATTTCTTTATCCCTACCCTCTTCAGTGAGGTTATTTCATACATTTATAATATGATCAGATTCTTTAGTAACAGTCTGCATCCCATTCTGGATTTCCTGACCTTCTGGTTGATTTTTTTTTTAATGTGCCTACACTACAGTAAATTCTTTGCACTATAAAGTTATATGGGATTTGACAAGTTAATAATGTCATGTATCCATCAGTACAGTCCTGTAGAGAATGGTTTATAGACTTGAAAAAAATCCTCTGTGCTTTACCTAATGAACCCGTCTTCCTCCCCAAAACTCTGCCTATCACTGATTTGGCTTCTACAGTCATTTTTTTCTTTTCCAGAATGTAATATAAATGGAATTATATGGTATGTAGCTTTCTAACACTAACTTCTTGCACTTAGCAATGCTAATTCATATCTTTACACGGCTTGATAGTGCACTTCTATTGCTGAATAGTATTCCACGGTATGGATGTAGCACAATTGTGTCTCCATTCACCTTTTGAAGGACTTCTTGATTCCTCACAGCTTTTGGTAAATATGAATAGAACTGCTATGAACATTCATATGCAGGCTTTTGTGTGAGCATAATTTTTCAAATCTGTTGGATGAATATCTAGAAGCACAAATGTTAGGTCATGTGGTAAGTCTATCTTTAGCTTTATATCAACCTTTGAATTATTGATGGATACCAAATTATGCAAATGTCTTTTAGCATAAGGTATGTTATGAATTTTGTCCTCACTCAAAAAAGGCTTTCTAGTAAACCGTAAGAAAATTGAGAGAAAATTAGCTCAACAATTACTGTAGGGCAGCATTTCAAAGGTTGGATTCTATTGGGGAGAGGAGCAGTGGAGGAGAAGTGTTCAAAGGTAAGAAAAGAGAACGTAGACAGGAAATTTCAGCTAAATTGTAAACATGAAAGGAGGATTTGAGGAAACAGAAGTCAGCAATGGAAGAAATATGTTTCATACCTGAATTTGGCCACTCAAATGCATCCTAGAAAGGAGAAACAGAGAGTCTATTAAAAATCAGTGCTGAGGAGGAAAAGAAGTATGAGAGAATAGAGACACAAAGCATGTAACAAGGGAGAGAAATAAACAGCAGGGCTGAGGAAACCATGAGCCTTTTGAGCTGGAGGTGCATCAAGATTGAGCGATGTAGTCTGGAATCACCGGAAGATGTGGATTTGGAGGTGACCCATGTTTCTGAGAATAAGCCTCTCAGCAATCTCCAACTCTTTGATTGACAAGAGTCTACAATGAACATACTCAAGACCTGGTCCTTCACCCCTTTTGAGGGTGTCCTCTTTAGAGGAATGCTGAGCAATTCGACTGCTCTCTGCTTCTCCTCGCACTCCACCCACATGGCATGTGTGTAAGGGCATGTTACCAAAGCCATAAATGTCATAAAAATGAAGAGAGTCCAGAAAGGTTATATTATAATCCAATCCTTAATGCAGAAATAAAATGTTTAAAATGTAATTTGGTTTGGCTCCTGAGATGTTTCTTCTAGGAGCATGTAAATGAATGGTGACTGAGTGTGCGGTTACTGAAATAATCAAATAATCACATGAAGTAAATAGGGTCAGGAAACGCTTCATCCACAGATGCTCTATCATTGCTGTAACCATCAAACACAGAGAAAAGCACACTTCCCTAGACCTTACTTCATTCCTTTACTTCATACTCTATGAGGGAATCTCCTGGCTGGCACCTTCCCATCTCCTTCCCATATAATTGTAGCACTATTTGCCTCTCAAGGTGTCCTCCTACTTGGGAGGCCAAATTAGGAAATCCGTCGCAGATGCATGATTAAGTATGTTTTTGTTCCTAAAATTCATGGCATTTTCCTTAGAAACTTTTACAATATTCTCAAGAAGCTTACTTGATTTCTGTTTTGACTTACCATCTCTTGAAATGGTAATTCTCATTTTTCATTAGTATTTCTTCAGAGCCCTAAAACACAAAGAGCTAAAATTATAAACTGCAAAACATGTGCATAATTGAGATAATTCATTATTCTGGCTTGGGGAAAATATTATGAGCTAAGTTCGCTTAGAATCTTCTAATTAAACAGCAATAGTCATTTATAAGAATAAGTTAATGAGCATGTTTTTTTTTTTTGATGGAGTCTTGCTCTGTCGCCCAGGCTGGAGTACAGTGGTGTGATCTTGGCTCACTGCAATCTCCGCCTCCGTGGTTCCAATGATTCACCTGTCTCAGTCTCCTGAGTACCTGAAATTACAGGCACCCGCCACCACACCTGGTTAATTTTTATATTTTTAGTAAAGACTGGATTTCACCACCTTGGTCCGGCTTGTCTTGAACTCCTGACCTTGTGATCCACCCTCCTTGGCCTCCCAAAGTGTTGGGATTACAGGCGTGAGCCACCACACCCAGCCCGAGCTCTTTTTCAACTATGTCTCCACCTCCATCATTCCTACTCGAGGATTACTGAAATACACAAATGTGGGGGGAAACTAGAACTCAGGTCCTTTTGTAATGCCTGTCTTGTAATGTATCCCTAATATATTTGAGCATAAACCTACCACCATTTTTTCATTTCTAATCTATGAGTTTCATATTCAAAAGGTGTTCAAAGTTACCATTGATGTGAGAGACATAAAAGCACCCATGTCTAAAATAACTAAAACGTGTAGCTGAGTAATTTAGTGACATTGAAAGGTAGTTCTTCATTTTACCGAACAGTGAGAATAGTGGAACATTAAGCATGCAGCATCCACTGCATTAGCAATGTAAGATTTCTCTGTCATTAGGAATGAAGATGTACCACAGACATGTAAGGACTCACAGTAAAACCTCATCAATATTTTCAAAACACATCATACTCCTCTTGTGCTCTTTGAGATGCATTAGCAACCTTATTAGGTTCTCTGTCCTGAATTATCTCCCTGTCTTAATCTTTGACCTGCTAATATTTCAAAATGCACTAAGGTAACAAATAAATCTTTCCCTGCTCCTCTTTTGATGCTGATCAGGCATTCGGCACTCTCTTAAAAGCATAATAAGGCTCATTTTTCTTCGGCTTGGTATGATCAGGTTTTTATTTTAAATAGGTGGATATAAATGACTGCACGATGTTGTACAACTTCAGTGAGATGGTGATGGGAGTAGAAACAAAAAAAGAAAAGACGGAGAGAAGACATTTTTAAATCAGGAGAATATTGATGGTTCAGAATAATGTCATTTTCAGCCTATTCAGCCTATGAAATAGAACAATTTTTTAAAACATTTTTCACATTTGAAAAGCTGAAGTCTACAATTTGCATTATCTTTACCCCTTTTACCTTCAGATAATTTTCTAATAAATTATTTTTCTATTTCTTGCTACCACTCACATATTATTCTTTTTAATGTTTGTGTTCCTCATAATATAAGCCATAAATTCTCTGTGTATTTTAATGTGCCAAGTAGATTGCCAAGTGTTCTTTCTGCATAAGCATGCACATACAGACCTGCATAAATACATTTGTATATTTATATACATGTTTATGTATATAGTTAGTATGGAAACAGACATTCTCATGGATGCCAAAATAACATCTAAATTGTTGCCAATTTGTAACTTAGTCACATAATGATTTCTCTGCTCCTCAAGAAACCCCTTTTATATCTTTGTAGTAGTCCTGTAAAGTAAAAGCTGAATATTAGCTTTCAATCAAAAACGAGGTTAGGCCAGGCGTGGTGGCTCAAGTCTGTAATCCCAGCACTTTGGGAGGCGGAGACGGGTGGATCACGAGGTCAGGAGATCGAGACCATCCTGGCTAATACGGTGAAACCCTGTCTCTACTAAAAAATACAAAAAACTAGCCAGGTGTGGTGGCGGTGCCTGTAGTCCCAGCTACTCGGGAGGCTGAGGCAGGAGAATGGCGTAAACCCGGGAGGCGGAGCTTGCAGTGAGCCGAGATCGCGCCACAGCACTCCAGCCTGGGCGACAGAGCGAGACTCCGTCTCAAACAAACAAAAAAAAGAGGTTATTAATGACATGAATTTTCTTGGTGGATTTGTGCTCATACCAAACAGAATGTGACTGATGGTTAAAAAGTAAACTTTTACTGATTCCGCGGAACATAAAAAATTTTGAAGCAAAATTGGATCAGTTCACCCTTCACTTTTAAAAGCGAGCTGCTGGGTCATCTGTGGGTTACTTAACAGGGTAGGGCCCAGCATAGTTCTGCCAGCTCTTGGGAGCCCACCCCTGCTGTGGAGATTAGGGACATCAGTTTGGATAGAGTTAACTGTGAAGGGTGAAGGGTGAGGGCAGTCAGACAGAAAGGGCTTCAGAGTACCACCAAAGAGCTTAACCCATGTCCCTGGTAGGTTTAGGGGTGTGGATCGGTTCCATGGTGAGACTCAAAATATTTGACACCTGGCTACTGCACAGAGCTTGCCAATGGCTGAACAGGATCCTGGAACCCTGAGGGGCTAGAAGTTACTTCTTCATTGCTGAACCGTGGAAAACTGAGAATCAAGAAGGAAGGAGAAGGGGAAGGGGAAGGAGGGCCTACTTGACTGGGTAACTCAGGGTCACTTATTTATCAAACTTAAATAAGTGTTTTTATATTTTTACAACCTGTAAGGCTCTGCCACTTACAGTAGGTCAGTCTTGACTAAGGCCTGATTTACACAAGCAAGAGAGAAGATCTAAAGAGACTCTGGTGCTATTGGCTTAATAGCAGAGATAGGGAGAGGGAGGAAGAGGGAGGGGAGAGAGGGAGAGAGGGGGAGAGAGAGAGAGATAAATCTGGAATGAGCTGCACTTTCACACCACAGCCCAGCAGACAGGAGCATGAATTTTCAGTGTCTGAGTGTGATTATGACTCTAGTCTGGACATTTTAATGGCAGAAGTGAGACTGTTCTCTGGAGTTTTTTTTTTGTTTGTTTTTTTTTTTTTTTTTTAGACAGAGTCTCGCTCTGTCGCCCAGGCTGGAGTGCAGTGGTGCTATCTCAGCTCACTGCAAGCTCCGCCTCCCGGGTTTACGCCATTCTCCTGCCTCAGCCTCCCGAGTAGCTGGGACTACAGGCACCCGCCACCTCGCCCGGCTAGTTTTTTTGTATTTTTTTTAATAGAGACGGGGTTTCACTGTGTTAGCCAGGATGGTCTCGATCTCCTGACCTCGTGATCCGCCCGTCTCGGCCTCCCAAAGTGCTGGGATTACAGGCTTGAGCCACCGCGCCCAGCCTGTTCTCTGGAGTTTTATTCAAGTTCTTTATTATCCAACTGTAGCTGAATAAAACTCTGATATAAATCTGAGAGTTCATCCGGGGCAAGGAAAGAACTGTCTATCCCATGGGACAGGTTTAAAAGGTGAGTGGCAGAAAAAGCAAAGTGTGTTTTATCTTTGTACCTTAACATGCATACAACAGAAGGGTTAGAACAGCAAGGCATCTAGTTTGTCCTGAAGCTGCCATTTGGACCTAACTGGGCTAGTCAGAGAAACTGACGGGAAGAGCCAGCAGTACGTCCTGGCAGGGTGATGTCTTGTATTCTATTTGGTTGGTTTGGATGTTGATGGGAGCGAACACCAGAGAAGACGAGAATAAAAACCAGAACAACTCCATTGTCTGTTGCACGTGCTTCTGCCTGAGGCCTCTGGAGAGCACATCAGGTAGAAGCCTGAGTTGTTTTCCTGAAGGGCTGCCTAAGATGGAAGGTATTTGCCGCACAGCTGAGGACACAGCACAAGCTGGAACCTACTGAGGACAAGGGGAGTGGCTTTCCTTTAAGTAAGGGCGGGAGTGAGTTTGGCTCAGTGAAGACTCCAGGAAGTCATCACACAATTTAAACCTCAGACCTTATCCTTTGCGGAGCATAAGGACATGAGGTCTTGTCCTAGACTCAGGAGCATCCTGGCAGGTCCTGACAGCAACGGTGACCTACTGTGAGATGTCACCCAAAGGTAGATAACAGTGGATGATCAGAGAGAAGGTGAACCCACCAGAATGTGCTGAAATAGTTCTCATATTTGTAGGCCCTAAAAAGATATTTATTATAAAATGTAACAAATATGAATACTTTTATTCAAACATGGATAATTACAATTTAAAATTTCTTTAAACTTACTGTAGTATATTACTTCTTATTCTAATTTCTTTCACCACCTGATTATTTAAAATTTAGAAGAATTATATTCTATTAAACCTATAAGTGCTAAATAGTTTCCATACTAACAAATTTGCCCTATAATTTTTGAAACTGTGAATTATGTCTGCATATATCTTTCTTTGTGAGAATTTTTTTTGGAACTTCATAGTCACTTTATTTTTGGTTATTGAGATATTAGTCTCCTTTCATTTGAATTGCTGGCATCATTGTGTTTATTAGCTAATTAGTAATAGGTAAATATTTTGAAAATTCCACATGTTATATGTTAGGAGTTAGTATATGATTTGGTTAGAATTACCTACAAATTCTAAGCATGCCTGAAGTGTTTTTTTTTTTACTTTAGGTTCTGGGGTACATGTGCACAATGTACAGGTTTGTTACATAGGTATACATGTGCCATGTTGGTTTGCTACACCCATCAACTTGTTATTTACATTAAGTATTTCTCCTAATGCTACCCCTCCTCCAGCCCCCACCCCCCAACAGGTCCGGGTGTGTGATGTTCCCCTCCCTGTGTCATGTGTTCTCATTGTTCAACTCCCACTTATAAGTGAGAACATGTGGTGTTTGCTTTTCTCTTCTTGTGCTACTTTACTGAGAATGATGGTTTCCAGCTTCATCCATGTCCCTGCAAAGGACATGAACTCATCCTTTTTTGTGGCTGCACAGTATTCCATGGTGTATATGTGCCACATTTTCTTTACCCAGTCTATCATTGATGGGCACTTGGGTTGGTTCCAAGACTTTGCTATTGTGAATAGTGCCACAATAAACATACGTGTGCATGTGAATTTATTAAATACTAAAAGACTGTACATAATGATAATG